GGCTCCGCGGTCCCTCCGCGGCTCCCTCCCCGGGAGAGCAGCCCCGACCCCCGCCCGCGCTCACCACGCGGATCCCGCGGAGCACAGGCTCTGCGGCGGCCGGGATCCACGCCGCCATGCCCGACCTACGCGACCCGCCGCCCGAGGTCGCCGCGTCTCCCGCAAGACGCGGAGCCAGGGACCGGGAGCCGCCGCCGGGCGTGAGGCCGCCCCCTGCCGCCCGGAGGCCGCCGCCGCCTGGCCCCGCCCCGGCCCCGACGCGCCTGCCCCGAGCCTGCGGCGTCAGCTGCCTCCCGCCCCGCCCCGCCCCGCCCCGGCCCCGCCCCCGCCCGCTCCTCCCACCTCCCGGGTCCGGTTCCTCCGCGGGTCTACATCTCCTTCCTCCCCAGCTCCGACACGCTGCGAGGTTCCCGGCGCTCAATACCGACTGTCCCGCATTCGAATACCCTTTCTGCCCTTGAAGGGACTTCTCCATTCCCACTCCCCGCCCCGGCACCTGGCTTCTAAACCGAGGAGCCTGGGTTTCTCTCCAGGTAAGGGGACTCGTGGAGGATTTCAAGGTGGGCAGTCGTTTTCAGATTTGCACTTTAGAAAAATCACTGGCTCCTGTGAGGAGGAGTGAATGTAAGAGCGGAAATTGGAGATGAGGACAGAAGTTCTGTCAGGGTGGCAGTCTGCTCTCGGTTCTTCGTATGCTGTGGGCTGAAGAATAACTAGACACACCAAAGTGTCAATCAAGTCCAGCCTCTTGGCGGACTGTTATCCTAGTTTTTTAGCCCCTAGCTTGGGGAGGTAGTGGGGACGGATCACAAGCAGGGCGGGTGCGACGGAGTGGCCACAGCAGAAGGCTGTTACACGTGTGTAGCTTTTTGTCATGAAGCATTCCCTCCTTCTCCAGGAGGGATAGGATTAAGGGTGAGGCACCACCAAAACCGAATGCCTGCCCTTATCCTTCTTCCTAGGTGGGGCAGTTGCTGGAGGCAGCACCAAAGCAGGGCACCCTTGTCCCTAGAAGAGCCCGAGATCCTAGCTATCTACCTTCCAGTTCCAAGGCTATTGCAATGGTCCTAGTGAGAATTGAGGAGCCTGAACTAATCCAGTGATAGGAGGACGGGTGGGAAGAGTGGGCTGAGACACTTAGGAGGTCAATGAAGAGAGTGACTGGATATGGGGGATCAGGGTGGGAAAGATACCTGGCCAAGTTTTTGGCTTGAACAATGACATGGATATAGGAGAGTTAGGTGGGGCTGAGGGGGGCTGTCAAATTCAGTTTTGCATTTGCCTGACTTTGTCACAGGACACCGGCCTAGCAGAGGTCACAGGCTGTAGAGTTATGAGAATGCAACCTGACGCCAAGAGGGATGGGTCAGACTGCCAGCAAACCCACCCAGCCTCTGAAGTACTAGTACTGCAGACAAATCAAGGCCAAAATGCAAACAAACCCTTTGTCTCTCTAGCTGTATTTCTTTGCAGCATGTGGTCTGGTGGTACCCCATAGGACTTACTAGCTTTTTGCTGTTGCATTCTGGGCTATACAATCAATACCTTCAGCCTTGCATTTGGATGGATTGCACCTTCAGTTCTTTACAGTGATTGACTAAAAATATGCTAATTTATTCTAATATTAATTGACTCCTATGTTCTGGTCTTCATAATTTCTCCTTTGAATAGTAGTTAATAGCCTCTCCCACACTTTCTGCTTGGGATTCCTTAAAAGTTATGTTGGTGTGGTTAGGGATAATTTGGTTTTTTCTTCATTGGCATCAATGATAGTTAAAACTGTCAAAAGTATTTTTTCCAGTGGTGTAATAGTGGTGAACCACCTCTTTGCTATTCAAACCACATGGTTCAGAAGAGGGAGACCCTCCCCAGTTCCAGGAGTGGAAACAACCTAGGTCTGGCCAGTCAGACAGGGATTGAGTTAGGGTTGACCCATGACCTCAGCCAGACCAGTGAGAGTTGGTCCAGAGACTTTTTTGGACTAAGGAAAACAAATGATCTTTTTCAACTGTGTTGCTAAGCTGGTAGAAAGCCTGGAGCTGCAGGCAACCATCTTTGCAATCATGTAGACAGAGCTACTTTGGAAATGAAGCAGACACACAAGAAAGAGCTAAGAGGAGAAAAGTGTTAGACTTTGCTTGTGCAACTGGAAACCAGCAGTGCTGGAAATGAGCACTAAAGGCAGTTTAAGTTGAATTAACTAAAGGCAGTTTGTCACGTTATGCTGATTGCTATTTGCAGAATTACTCCTTCTTTCCTTTATTGAAAACGGTACTTTTGCTTATCTCCAACCTTTCTTTTCTCCATAATTTAAAAATTGCCCCCATTATCTGTTACTCTGAACTATCGTCTCTCTGCCCCACTCTCTTCCCCCTACTGTTTCCATAAGGCTGCCACAGCCATCTGAAATGGAAACATTCACTACTTAAAATTCTTCAAACTCCCCATCACCTACAGGCAAAAACCTAAGTTCTTTCATATGATTTAACCCCTATCTGCCTGTTCTTCAGTAATATTGAACTACGTGTGCCTGTCTGCACAACTATGCTGAGTTTGGTTATGTAACGGCCTATCTTTTAAGCCAGTTCAAGCCTTGTCTTTTCCAGAGAGCCACCTCTGACCACCCCACAGTAAGCTTAGTGCTTGCATCTTATAACCTTTGTTGCACTTATGGCCTTCACAACTATCAATTATGTATATGTGTCTATTCCCACTGGTCCATAAACTCCATGAGGACAGAGCCTTGCTTGAGTAATCTAAGTCAACAGTCCAGCATGGGACAAAAAGTGCATGCACTGGGATTACTCAACAGAATTGACAGGTTTAGCAATTTGAGCTCGTTTGAACCTTTACAAAAAAGGATTTGCAGGACAATCTCACCAATCTTGGGCTTCCACATTAAAAACTGTTATTAAAAATAACAGTTCTGGCCGGGCGAGGTGGCTCACGCCTGTAATCCTAGCTCTCTGGGAGGCCGAGGCGGGCGGATTGCTCGAGGTCAGGAGTTCGAAACCAGCCTGAGCAAGAGCAAGACCCCGTCTCTACTATAAATAGAAAGAAACTAATTGGCCAACTAATATATATAGAAAAAATTAGCCGGGCATGGTGGCTCATGCCTGTAGTCCCAGCTACTTGGGAGGCTGAGACAGAAGGATTGCTTGAGCCCAGGAGTTTGAGGTTGCTGTGAGCTAGGCTGATGCCACGGCACTCACTCTAGCCTGGGCAACAAAGCGAGACTCTGTCTCAAAAAAAAAAAACAAACAAAAAAAAACAGTTCAGTTCTGGTATAATTTTTTACAACAAAAGCAAGTAAAAGGTGTGTTTTACTTTGTAATGATTAAAGTGAAATGCCTTTAGTCCTAGGAAACAGGTTAGTCCTTTCTGTACCTTTTTTTTTTGCTGTGAACTTGGGATTCTCTTATCCTCACTTGTATCAGTCCATGGTCACTCAAGCTTGCATACATACAATATTTACATCTATGCTAACTGCAGAAAACTCCGTAGGCAGGATACGTCTTTTTTTTTACCTCACTGGGATAACTTTGAGACACAGTCTCACTTTGTTGCCCAGGCTAGAGTGAGTGCCGTGGCATCAGCCTAGCTCACAGCAACCTCAATCTCCTGGGCTCAAGAGATCCTCCTGCCTCAGCCTCCCAAGTAGCTGGGACTACAGGCACGCGCCACCATGCCCGGATAATTTTTTCTATATATTTTTAGTTGGCCAATTAATTTCTTTCTATTTATAGTAGAGATGGGGTCTTGCTCTTGCTGGTTTCAGACTTCTGACCTTGAGCAATCCTCCTGCCTTAGCCTTCCGGAGTGCTAGTAGAGTCATTTTATTTTACAGTGCTTTCTAGTACCCTTGGTCATGCAGAATTTCTGCAAATGCAATCCAGAGAAAGAGGCCTTACTATGTACTAGCTATTTGAACTTGTCTAAGCTTTTGTTGCATGGTCTGAATAACACTGAAAAATTTCTAGTGTACCTCTCAATTGCCATCACTTCCCTAGGTATGGATTTAAATGAGATAACCTACTAAAGGATTCCCCTAAAACCAAAGGCACTTAGCTTTTGTCAGATATGGCTGAGACTGACATCTAGTGGCCAGTGATAACAGTGCAACTGTAGTATCCTTACCTAATGGGGACACCACCAATGGGGTATTTTACTAGAGAAAGGTCCAAGGCATGGTTTGGATAGTTTCTGGCTGTGCAGGTTAGAAGCCTAACTCTGGCCCTCCCAAAGATTATTTGGGTTATTCTACTACTCTTTTATAAAGTTTGAAATAGCTTTCAAAGGCTTAGCCATAAGATACCCTTACAAACTTTTACCGTTTTTGCTATCAATTTTAAGCCTACTGAAAATGTCTGAAGAAATCCAAAACTGATCGCTAGTTTACCCATCTTATACAAAATAAATGTTAACCTATTCTACTTACCCGCATTAAGTTTTAAAATTTAACTCAAAAAATAGCAAAACAAATTCTAGCACTACCATTTTAAACAGACCTAAAATGCATCTGTAATTTGGACCTCTAAAACTAACTGCGAGTATTTCTCCTGGAATAGTGAAAAATGGCTGTATGGTGGTGGCACAGGATGTTTTAAGGATATATGCTGAGTACTCAATTTTATTATTCAGTCCAGTCCCTCTTCCCTTTTCTCAGCCTCACAACCAGGAATGTACAAAGAGATCCAGAACTTGGTTGGCATGGTAAGAAGACTACTTACTTTTTGTCTGGCATAGGTTTCAGCTACTGTCATCAGAGGCATCATTTGTTTCTTAGGGTGCGTCCTGGTAGTACACAGTATACTTAGTTCATTTATGAACTTCCCTTTTTGTAAAGGCTAAGAAAACATTTTAGCCACTAAATGATATGCAAAGATAACTTTCCAAATTTACGCTGTAGTCAAAAATCCATAGAACCTACATAAATTTCCTTTCCACATTTAAATAGAAATAAGTGTGTTGAAACAAACATTAATCAGTCATTTTTTTGTTTTCAATATATTTTATTCTGATGAAGTTACAAAAGTAGATACAAAATACTTTTTTTTAAAAGTACAGTTAACTGACTTAGAAAAATAGATAAAGCCCCTAAAGGTTTAAAAATACAACACAAATTTTTTATGTAAAGAACATTTAAAAATATTTTAGATGGTAACCAAGACTAACTTATGCAAACTATTTTTGATGTAGACCAAACAGAATGTTGTTCTATAATAAGTCTATAACAAACTGGTAATCCATCTGGATTTACAGAATACTTGTTTGGAATATAATCTGATAATGAGAGATGAAGTGAATTTCAATACAGTTGCATCAGTAAAATTACTGCTACCACACAGAGTATTGTCCCCCAAAGCCTTTTACAATACTGAATCAAAACTGAATGCTTCCCTCTTTGCCAGAATTCTACAATAGTAGAAACCAAATCCACTTACTGAAATGATCTCAGGAGGAAATAATTTGCCTGTTGAAGGGCTCAATGTTTGTTGTCCAGGCCGGCATTTTTCAGGCCAGGGTTTCACACTAATAGAAGACAGCCTTCTGTGACAAGGCAGCAGTAGCACCAGCGCCATCACTGGAGCTGCTTAGAAAGAACTTTCTAGGACTCATATTCTTTGGGCCCAATTTGTTAAAGCTTATGAGGTAATGATATCATGTTTGAGCTCTACTTCTAGTAAAATCTCATTGCTCAGAAAGGCGGCCAACAGTAAAATCAGAAAACTACAACATCTGCAAAAGTTAGTATCACCACCAGGATTGTTTCTCTTGCCTCTGAACTACTCGAAAAACTTTGTTATCAAAATCATGGTGAGTACAGATTTGCATTTCTCAAGTAAGCAACTACATGAGTTAGGGCTCTACAAATCTAAGATGAAAGGAAATACTTTGTTAGGTGGCAGCCCTCTAATAATCACTTTATTCACAATCTGAAAAAGAATAAAGGATATATTTGGCTGCCAATACAAAAAGTGTAGTTTAGGAAAGTTTGAATATTTAAACAAAAATCTGTACATCATTGCCCAAGTTTTTTAAAACGCCTGAAAATCAAAGCACCATAGGATCAACTGCCTAATTTAGCTGGCACTCTCCATCCCATGATTGTGAGCATGTATGAGGAGCAGAGCGCAGACACTGAGAGGAGCTGACTTCTGATTAGGAGGGCAAGGAGAAAGTGCTGTGAACAGCAGATCCTGGGCATGGGGAGAGAAATCAAAACCGAACAAAAAGATTGAGTTCTTCAAACTCTTATCGAAGGTTGGCCCTCCAGCCTGAAAGGCACCATCCACTTTCTCTTCTCTCCCCTTCCTCCAATTCTCCTCCTGCCCTCTACTCCCTGGCCTTAGAAGTAAACAAATAATATTAACACTAATGTTAGGTGCACTGTTACTTATATCAGATTGGCTTGGGAACCTGATAATGTTTTATTTTTTTAAAAAAGGACATTCTGAGCCTCAAAATAGCAACAGGTTTTTGATTTATGTCCTGTTCTATAAGCTGCCTTTACTACTGTCCTAGAATATGATCATCTTTGGTTCATTCTGGAACTTAGGGAGGATTTGGAAAGGGAGGATTTCCATCACTGAAACTAAATGGAGAAAAGTGAGAACTCTTTTGTTTGAAGCTATCTGAAATATTAGAAATGTTGATAAAAGTACAACCCTAGTTGAGAAACATAATTTTGTTCCTTGTAGACTTAAAAAAAAAAAGTAAAGCCAACAGTATGAAGTTGAGAGGCAGTTACATTCTAGGTGGCATCTAGAAATCTGCTTTCTTGTTCACAGATGATCAATGTAGAGAAATGGCTGAATTTTGGACCTGTGGATAAGCTTAAAACATGAATTTTGGAATGTTTCATAGAGGGCTTTTCTCTTTTTTCATAAGTGACTATCCCACTCTAATTCCTCACTTATGTATGGGCTTAGCCTAAATTAGATTAAATGTTTTATTTCTCTTAAAATTATGTATATATTTAAGAATTTGTTGAAACTGAGTTATTAAAAGTACAGTTTCTAAGCAATTCTTTTCTTCATGGTCTAGTGGAATAAAACAAAACAAAAATCTTATCAAACCTAACCTTTATCAAAGCCATCAAGGAGGTTGGTGAATACTTTGCAAAAACCACAGCTCTGAAACACAGAATGTTCATGAACTTAAAGCTTTGCCAGTCTGGCAAGTCTTCTAGTACACTTATTGTGCCTTAGTACATTTAAATGGCCAGCTAGAGTTTACTAAATCCAAGGAACCAAATGAAAAATAGATGTTTTCTTCACTAATGGGGAAGATTCTTTTATCACAATAGAAATAGAACAATTTCAAGTTTTGATACAAAAACAATTAAAATAGGATAAAGCCCTTATGTGAGCTTAATCCATCTTTTGAATATTAACAGAAGCAAGACTTTTTTACTTATTCCTCCCATTTTGTCTCCTATAAACATACACACACACACACTCTCTCTCTAAAGAATACATAGCACACCAAAACTTTAGCTGTGTTACAAAGTGTAACCTTCAAGGTTTCTTATTGTGGTTCTCCTTAAGTCTTATCCTTATTTGGATAAAATTTGTGCATTTCTCCACTATTTTTAACTAAGGCTTAAATCACAATAAAAACATAGAAATAATTTTTTAACAAAAGAAAACAAAATAATCAAGGACTCTCAATACTTTGTTCCATTCTCTTATCCAGAATTTCAAGGCCTCTGGGGAAAAAAAAGAATGAAAATAGTGGCTTTGAGGCCTAAGTTTGTCATATTTGGGGGGAAGTTTTCTTTTTCTCAGCCAAAAGCTCCATATTAAATTAACTTGAATGAAGCCTTTCAAAATAAAAACCTGTAAGATTTTTTAGAAGCCATAAAAAAATTACTTCTGATACATACACTCCTAATAATTTAGATAGATGTGAAAGTCACTTTAAAAATAACTTTGGTTACTCTCATTCCACATATGCCATATAATGATTTAAGCTGCAATCATGGATTTTGAAAAAATATATGTATATCTTATCCATAAAAACACTAACATACAAACTTAAAACTAAAAGGTTATCCAAAGTTACACAAACATTCTAAATCTTAAGGAGTCTTGAAAATACCTTTTCTATCTGTAAAATAAAATAAAATTGATCTGATTTTGTTATTAGGAAATTTGTTCTGGAAACTTATTAATAAATAATTGGTGGAAATTCTTAACATCCAGTATGCCATCACCTGAAACAGACTCAAATCATTTTCTTGAGTAAAAGAATCATAAGTAAACATATACTACAGGCTAGTCATCACATATTACAACCAAGTATGACTCTGTGACGATAACAGAGTAGTTACACAGTGCGCCTCAGATTTGGCTGTGTCCTTAAAGGTCTCACTCTGAAGCAATTAGGCCAACCTACCTTTGGGACAATTTTATCAGTAGACAATGTACCTTTTTATCCTGTTTTCTTAAAGTTTGTTATCACTAATCTATAACAGATAGCAATGAAATAGCTCTAGCAGGAGATGAAGCAAGAGGATAACTGTGTTCTGGAAGAAACGTTTATCTGTCTTTGGATCCAAGTTTCTCAATTAATTCCTGAAGAGGTGCCAACTCACGCCTATCAATCAGATTAAACTCCTAAAGAGAGAAGAAAAATAAAATTTAAAAATGGATCTATTGGACACACTTGAAGCTCTAACTCAAGGTGGGAGGGAAGGAAGGCAAGAGCAATGTATGTAACCTTAACATTTGTACCCCAATATTATGCTGAAAAAAAATGGATCTAAAAAATTAAAACTCTTTAAGTGTCTTTTAGAGATGAGATTCCCAGTCTAGTTTTCTGAAACCCAAAAGAATGGTGAAATAATTTCTGTGAACATTTAAAAATAGGATTGTTTTTACTTTCCTATCGGTGTGATATTGTGATGTATATATTTGGTTGTCCCAGGTTCCTGACATACAGTTCCTAAAACCCTTGGAATCTCTAGTGTCTTTTGTATGCTAATGAGATCACTGGTAGCTGGGAGGCACTAGAGAGCTTTAGGATGGGGGCTGGTCACCAGGGTTGGGACATTCAGCCCCACCACCCCACCTGTGGGAAAGGGAAAGAGGCTAAATGATGAGCAGATCACCAATGCCCAATGATATAATCAATAACAGCCAAGTAATGAAACTTCCACAAAACCCCAAAAGAACAGGGTTCAGAGAGATTCCAGACAGCTGAATGGTTAGAGGTTCCTGAAGGGTGATGAGCCTGGAGAAGGCATAAAGCTCTGCACCCCTTCTCTCATATCTGACCCTATGGATCTCTTTCATCTGGCTGTTCATTTGTATCATTTCTAATATCCTTCATAATAAACTGGTAAATGTAAGTAAATATTTCCCTGAGTTCTATGAGCCACTCTGGCAAATTAACTGAACCCAAGGAAGAAGGGGTTGTGGGAACCCTGATTTATAGTTGATCAATCAGAAGGATAGGTGACAACCTATTATGTTTGATTGGTGTCTGAAGTGTGTGTGTGGGGGTGGCATTAGCCTTGGTGCCCCAGGCTAATGGGACTGAGCTCTGAACTGTGGGATCTAACACTACCTCTAAGTAGACAGTATGAGAATTGAATTGAATTAGAGGACACCCATCTGGTGTCCAATGTAGAACTGACTGCTTGCTTGGGAGGTGTGTGTGAAAATCCTCACACATATGGTCACAGAAGCATTCTGTGTTTTGAGAGTATAGCAGGAGAAACTGAGTTTGTTTTTTCCTATATCCTTACAATAGAGGACTTATTACATAAGCAACTCTAGGAATAAGTATGATTTTTTTTTTTTTTGAGACAGAGTCTCACTCTGTTGCCCAGGCTAGAGTGAGTGCCGTGGCGTCAGCCCAGCTCACAGCAACCTTAAAGTCCTGGGCTCAAGCGATCCTCCTGCCTCAGCCTCCCAAGTAGCTGGGACTACAGGCATGCGCCACCATGCCCGGCTAATTTTTTGTATATATATTTTTAGTCGGTCAATTAATTTCTTTCTATTTTTAGTAGAGACAGGGTGTTGCTCAGAGTGGTTCTGAACTCCTGACCTCGAGCAATCCGCCCGCCTCGGCCTCCCAGAGTGCTAGGATTACAGGCGTGAGCCACCGTGCCCGGCCCAATAAGTATGATCTTTACTGTGTTAACATTAAAATCAAAACTATATATGAGCTGGGCACGGTGCCTTATGCTTGTAATCCTAGGACTATGACAATGACAGGCTGAGGTGGGAAGACTGCTTGATTCCAGGAGTTCAAGACCAGCAAGACCCCATCTCTACAAAAAATTTAAAAAATTAGCCAAGTGTGGTAGTGCACCTATAGACCCAGGTACTCAGGAGGCTGATGGAGGATCACTTGAGCCTAGGAGTTTGAGGTTGCAGTGAGCTATGACACCACTGTACTCTAGCCCAGGCAACATAGCAGAAACCCTGTCTCAAAAACAAAAAAACAAAACAAACACCCTGTATATATATTTGAATTTACATAGAAATTACTTGAAAAATACAAACTGAACCTTTGATAGTGGCCACCTCTAGGGCAGTGGAACTTTTATACATACTTGTACTTGTGTGTGTTTGTATGCTATGCAGCAATCTTAGAAGGAAGATCAGGAAGAGCACAGCACATTCTCCTTTGTGTGGTAGACAGAACTATAATACACAATATCTACTATAAAGCTACCAGGTTTTTCTACCATAAAACAGTATCTAGACAGATATATTTTGCATATAGAATTATATATCTCTAAAGTTAGGCTGAAGAGGTCCCAATTCTTTGATATCTTTTTCAAACAATGTAAATTATTTTGATTTTTAAAAGTTCCAATTTTATCTAAGTGCCCATAAGGCGACAGGCCATGTCCCAAATGATAAATATCCTAACTAGAGACCTGAGGAAGCCAGAGGAGGAAGGCCCAAACAGGGATGATGCCTTTTACGCTGCATTAATGAAGTAACAATGTGGAAAAAAGAATAAAACAGAAGAGAAAAGCTTGCTTGTACTTAGCTCTACATCTATAAATAAGACATGCCCCTCTTTATTTAAGTTACGAATCCAGATAAGTCTGTCAAATGACAAAGAAATCGTGGTTCAACTTACCTGAACAAAGAAAATAAAGTGCTTAAAGGAGGTGTTGAGGTGAGCCTCCTCTTGCAGCTGCATCACAGAATCAAAGTGCTGATGATAAATATGGGCATAAACCCTGAACAGACGCTTTAGAATGGTCTTTGCCACAGACATAAAGTTTCTGGGAAATGGGACACCTGTAATCAAATATACATAAAGTAATATATAAATTAGCCTTTTATCTGACTGAATAGCAGTTTAGACACAATGATGAGCAACTGCAACACATAAACACACATATTCACAGACACACAAGCCTAGATCTGCATTTTTTTTCAAAGGCAAGGGAGGCCAGGCAGGGTGGTTCACGCTTGTAATCTCAGCACTTTGGGAGGCCAAGGCAGGAGGATCACTTGAGGCCAGGAGTTTGAGATCAGCCTGGCCAACACAGCAGGACCCTATGTCTATAAAATTAAAGTTGAAAAATTAGCTGTAGCTGGGCACTCCAGCCTGTGCCACAAAACAAGACCCCATCTCTTTAAAAAAAAAAAAAGGCAAGGGGGGGAAAAAAAACCCCAAACCTAAGTATATCCTCACATACCACAGTTTTTCTGATTGCCTTTGAATGGTAGGCAAAGACGTCAAATTATATAACATGCTGTTGAATCAATGTTCAAATAGACATAATTTTAGCTGTTTACTATTAGAGAGTTTCTTCCTTAAATTAAATGCAAGAGTAATAAGTATTTTGATTACAAACACATTTTCACTTTTTTTAATTTGTAACTCTTTTTAAAAAATTATACACATATTCTCTCACTGAGGACTGGACAATTTGCTACTAAAAAGACAGGCATACTTTTAGTCATTATAATCTATCTACACACACAAAAAAGTATTTATTTTATTTTCTTAATACTCTGGAAAGCCAACATTTCTTTCTGTAACTGGTAGTCCCAACTTTTTATTTTAGTGAAGTGCTATTTTCATTTTCCGATGGCCTTAAAAGGGAGTATGCTTTCTGAAGGGAGAAGGGGGGGACCTCCCCCATGTTTCAAAGAAAAACACCTTTATAGAAAAGAACTGGCAGAGGGTTTGGGACCCTCTCTCCAAGCCGTGGAGATGGGGATGCAACTGGTTACATTCCGAGAATTTTTGTTGACTTGACAACTTTTTCAAAGTCTCTTAAAAAAGAGGGACAGGAGAAAGACAATACAATTGGCACTGACTACAGTAAATATGTAAGAAAACATCCGCTTCCAAAATAACCTAGATTAGTTGGCCTTAAAGGCTGTTCCACAAGACTACTTTTTTTTCCCCTTTGTTTAGAGAGAGTCTTACTCTGTCACCCAGGCTGAAGTGTAGTGGCTATTTACAGGTGAGATCATAGATCACCACAGCCTCAAACTCCTGGGTTCAAGTAATCCTCCTGCCTCACCCTTAGTAGCTAGATTACAAGCATGAGTTACCAAAATACTATCCTTAAAATACATTCTTTTTTTCAATCTTTCAGAAAACAAGGGCTTAAAACATTCTTTCCCTGCATCTTTTCCCTTTTTCCTCAGCTAGTCCTTAATAGCCTGAAGTTTAGGATATTTTGCTGATTTTTGTGGTTATCCACCCCTACCCATGCCTCCAAGCCTTGGCTAACTTGACTTCTCAAACACTATCCTAGAGTTTATGGGCATGTTTTTCTGGGCAGGATCTTGTATCTACTTCCATTTATAAGGTATCTGCCTTTTGAAAAGGTAGATTTTAAAATCAAACCCCTTTTTTCTCAGAATCAACAAATGGGCATCTTGTTAATAAAAGGAACATTAATAACTTGGATATATTAGTAAAAACATTAATAATAGACAGTCCTGTCCAATAAGAATAAATAACTGGCAAAAGTACGATGTAGATAATAGCCTAATGTGGTTGGGGGTGGCAGTGAGAATTCCAGAACACCAGAATGAATTATTAAAGAATGGGAAGCTAAGAGGATAAGGTCAAAAGAATTATCTTCCATAAGGAAACTTTAATGAGTAAAGAAATAAGTAATTTATTTTAATCGAAGTACCTTCCAAGCTGAATTAACAGATATATTCAAGCACAGTCAATATACAATAAAGGATCTGTGAGAAAGGAAATAAAAGGTTTAATAACAGAATGGAAGAACTGACCAACAGCAAACAGATCAAGTGTAACAATATAAATTTTTCTACTGAAAGAGCCTCTAATTGGACTACAAGAAGGAATATGTTGCTTATGAGACATCCTTAAATTGAAAATGACCTGGACTGATCTCATCCATGAATACTGATGCCAAACTGATAATCAAAATATTAACAAATAAGAAATACTCTTCCAGCAGGGAATTTTTAAAAAGAAATGAAGAAAGCTTATGGTCTTTAACAGATACTAGAAGAAGTATCTGATAAAATTCAACAACCATTCTTGATTCTTAAAAATTTTCTAATAGACATGGATGGGCATTTCATTAATGATTTTAAAAATCTATACACCTCTAACCAAAAGCAAGATTCCTGCTTAATGCAGAAATATTAGAAGTACTTGCATAACAGTAAGGAAGCAAGAAAAGGATGTCTACTATTATCACCATTACTCAACACTGCTCCGAAAACACTAATCAGTGCAATTAGATAAGCGTAAAACAAAAACAATACGTACTAGAACAGTCAAAATTAATATTATCTTAATGGGATGGGGTTGTACACTTAAAAAACTCAAAGAACCAACCAAAAACTAATAGAAATAGACTCTGATGATTAATTATAAAATGTATATGAAAATAGTTTTCCCATATAACAAATAATAACTAGTAGGAAACCAGATTCTCAATCAAAACCAAAAATGCCTAGAATAAACTTAAAGGATTAACACAAACCACAAAATTTTACAAGAGGAATAAGACTTTTAAATAAAAGATACAGATAAATGAATAGTATCTCAGCTAGGCACAGTGGCTCACACCTGTAGTCCCAGCTAGGCAGGAGGATAGCTTGAGGCCAAGAGTTTAAGATCAGCCTGGACAACACAGCGAGACCTGTCTTCAAAAAAATGAATGAATGAGTAACATCTTGTTTTTAGCTAGGAAGTATTGTAAAGAAAATAAGAATCCCTATATTAATCCACAAAAATTCAATGAAATCATAACTAAAATCTAAATTATTTACCTTAATAGAATGATTTTAAGTTATTAGGAAGAACAAGTATCCCAGAATAGCTGTGATTATTCTGAAAAAGAGGAGCAAGGAAGGGAGACTAGCCCTACAAGATATTAGAAGATGGCCACAGTAACTAAAACAGTATGGAATTTCCATAGGAACATATAAAGAGATTAAAATACCCAAAATATATGGCAATTTGTTTAATAAATAGTATTGGGACAAACTGGTAGCATTTGTATTTGGAAAAAACTTAAAGTAGCATTCAGAAAAAAAAGGCCAGGTGTGGTGTAATCCCAGCACTTTGGGAGGCCAAGGCAGGAGGATCACCTGAGGCTAGGAGTTCAAGACTGGGCAATACAGCAAGACCTGGTCTCTACCAAAATAATTCAAAAAAACTTAGCCAGGCACAGTGGCACACAATGGTAGTCCTAGCTACTCAGGAGACTGAGGTAAGAGGATCAATATGAGCCTAGGAGTTGGAGGCTGCAGCAAGCTATGATTTTGCCACTGTACTCTAGCCTAGGTGACAGAGCCAGATCCTGTCTCTAAAAAAAGAAAAAAACAACAAAAAACCTACCCAATAGCCAAAGATTTAAATGTAAAAACAACATCACAAAAGTACTAAATGAAAACATGAACAAATGTATTTATAGGCCGGGCGCTGCGCCCGGCTCACACCTGTAATCCTAGCACTCTGGGAGGCCGAGGCAGGCGGATTGCTTGAGGTCAGTAGTTCAAAACCAGCCTGAGCAAGAGCAAGACCCTGTCTCTACTATAAATAGAAAGAAATTAATTGGCCAAATAAATATATATATAGAAAAAAATTAGCCCGGCATGGTGGTGCATGCCTGTAGTCCCAGCTACTCCAGAGGCTGAGGCAGTAGGATTGCTTGAGCCCAGGAGTTTGAGGTTGCTGTGAGCTAGGCTGACACCACCGCACTCACTCTAGCCTGGGCAACAAAGCGAGACTCTGTCTCAAAAAAAAAAAAATAAAAGTATTTATAATTTCAAAGTAGGGAAAGCCTTTCTAATCATTGCATTAAAACCCAATCGTAGGCCGGGCACGGTGGCTCACACCTGTAATCCTAGCACTCTGGGAGGCCCGAGGCAGGAGGATTGCTCAAGGTCAGGAGTTTGAAACCAGCCTGAGCAAGAGCAAGACCCCATTTCTACTATAAATAGAAAGAAATTGGCCAACTAATATGTATATAGAAAAAATTAGCTGGGCATGGTGGCACATGCCTGTAGTCCCAGCCACTTGGGAGGCTAAGGCAGGAGGATTGCTTGAGCCCAGGAGTCTGAGGTTGCTGTGAGCTAGGCTGATGCCCTGGCACTTACTCTAGCCTGGGCAACACGGTGAGACTCTGTCTCAAAAAAAAAAAAAAACCAATCATAAAGGTAATAGGACAAAATAATAAGGTTATATATAACAAAAGTACCCCATGAACAAAACAAGACAAAAGGCAACCTGCAGAAAAATACATAAATGTATGACAAAGAACATTCTTAACATAGAAATGGACAAAGGATATAAACAAAAAAATATACAATGGTAATCAATAAACCAAAAAATGCTCAATTTCATCAAAATTTTAAAAATGTACATTAAAACAGAAATTTAGAAAGAAATTAGCCAGGCAACTAAAAAACAGAAAAGAAAAAATTAGCCAGGCATGATAGCACATGCCTGTGGTCCCAGCTACTCCGGAGGCTGAGGCAAATCGCTTACGCCCAGGAGTTTGAGGTGGCTGTGAGCTATGCTAACACCATGGCACTCTAGCCAGGGCAACACAGCAAGACTCTGTCTCAACACCCCCCCCCCAAAAAAAAACCCCAAAACAAAACAGAAATTTATTTAACCAAATTAGAAAAGATTAAAAAATGAATAACCACTGTTGGTAAAGAAATACAAGCAGATACAAACATGGCCAGAGAGAGTATACACTGCTACAAACTTTTTGGAGGAGAAGCTGGCAGTCTATTAATTTTTTTTTAAGTTAACAGTGTTAACAACAACACATTTATCATTCAAAACAAAAAATACTTCTACAACATTAACTCACCAATCTTAGAAGGAAAAAGAGTTTCATCATCAAGCTGATCCTGAACCCAAGTCATCAAATAGTCAATATATTTTGGAGCGGAACATTTGATTGGCTTTTTAATATTAGTACCATCTGCCCAATGATATTCATATCTGGAGAGAAAAATGTATTACTGATAAAGTTTTTAAAAACATTAACAAATGTACAACTTGTAATCAAAGCAGGTTCACATTTTCTCAATAGAAGTTATATGTAACTTTAATAAGTTACTTAAAGTTCTACTAAAGACTACTGTGAGTTCCCTACAGAATTATTTTGAAATGTGATGGTTATAATTGGGAGAGAAAAAGGGAAATAATGTGGCAGTGAGTAGTGTCAAAATAGATGTTTTATACACAACATAGTCCTTACAGACAAAGGAATTGCAGTCCTGTCTATAAGACAGAACAGTGCTGAGAACAGGGTAAAGAGCTGATGGATTCACCATATTCTGAGATTCTTGGCCATCAAGTTATTATCAGTAGAACCAAGATTGTAAAACACTGTTTCATGGCTGGGCGAGGTGGCTCACACCTGTAATCCTAGCACTCTGGGAGGCCGAAGTGGGCAGATTGCTCAAGGTCAGGAGTTCAAAACCACCCTGAGCAAGAGCGAGACCCTGTCTGTACTATAAATAGAAAGAAATTAATTGGGCAACTAATATATACAGAAAAAATTTGCCGGGCATGGTGGCGCATGCCTGTAGTCTCAGCTACTGGGGAGGCTGAGGCAGCAGGATTGCTTGAGACAAGGAGTTTGAGGTTGCTGTAAGCAAGGCTGACGCCACGGCACTCACTCTAGCCTGGGCAATTAAGTGAGACTCTGTCTCAAAAAAAAAAAAAAAAACATTCAGATTTACTATGATGCAATATAAAAACTGAAACACTGAGTATCACATACCAAAGTATTTAATAACTAAAAGCCTATTAAGTGAGCATTCAAGACCCAGTAAAATTGATATGCCTTTATACAAGCAAACAGATAATAAAAATAAAAAGTCTTTATTATTTTATTTATATCAATTTAGTGATAAAGCAAAAGTAATCCAAACACCTATATATTATAATAGGCAGTATATATACCTTGGACCTGCAGACATGACTGGACAGCTTGCTTCAGTGCAGAATTCAGTAATAGTTCCATATAACATGTTGATCTGGTTGAAGAAATCCACAGCTGCAGAGATAACAGAATTGTATTAAAATGTCTGTAAACACAAAATGTGGGAGACCTCTCAGTTGAAGGAAAAATGGATGATGCACTTTAAGTTCTTGGCTAAACCCTAGGAAGATTCAATAATCTAATGAGGGCCAGGTGCAGTGGCAGCTCACCCCTGTAATCCTAGCACTCTAGGAGGCCGAGGCGGGCAGATTGCTCCAGGTCAGGAGTTCAAAACCAGCCTGAGCAAGAGCAAGACCCGTTTCTACTATAAAAAGAAAGAAATTAATTGGCCAACTAATATATATTTAGAAAAAAATCAGCCAGGCATGGTGGCGCATGCCTGTAGTCCCAGCTACTCCAGAGGCTGAGGCAGTAGGATTGCGTGAACCCAGGAGTTTGAGGTTGCTGTGAGCTAGGCTGATGCCATGGCACTTATTCTAGCCTGGACAACAAAGTGAGACTATGTCTCAAAAAAAAATAAAAAATAAAAAATCCAATGACACTGTAACTTCTAAATTTTCACACCTAAAAAAGTTGACTTTTAATATACTAAGCTTTAAATCAGCATATATTGAGTCCCTCTGTAATAAAAAAAATAAAAAAATAAATCAGCATATAACAGCAGGAAAACAAAATACTGGAGATAATTCTAACTTAATGATTACTATGACATCATTAGATATACAATTACATCCAAGGAAATGAAAAACCCATAGCTTCTTACCAATCTGGACCAGACAATACCATCTGTGTTAAGAAAGAGAAAAGAAGTGTTTTGGAATATACTGAGGGAGATGTATCCAACTGTATCAACAAGCATTTAAAATATCTAATTCACCATAAACATCTGAGGTCTATGGCATATTGAGAACATAAAAAAGGGACTTCAGATTAAAGTCTCCTGCCCTGGAGTCTCCAGCTAATGGAAGGGACAAAATTAAAAGGAATAGGCTGGGCGCAGTGGCTCACGCCTATAATCCTAGCACTCTGGGAGGCCGAGGCGGGCAGATTGCTCATTGCTCTAGGTCAGGAGATTGAAACCAGCCTGAGCAAGAGCGAGACTCCATCTCTACTATAAACAGAAATTAATTGGCCAACTAAAAATATATAGAAAAAATTAGCTGGGCATGGTGGCGCATGCCTATAGTCCCAGCTGCTCCAGAGGCTGAGGCAGGAGGATTGCTTGAGCCCAGGAGATTGAGGTTGCTGTGAGCTAGGCTGATGCTACAGCACTCACTCTAGCCTGGGCAACAAAGTGAGACTCTGTCTCAAAAAAAAAAAAAGGCCAATAATAGGCCAGGCATCGTGGCTCATGCCTGTAATCCTAGCACTCTGGGAGGCCAAGGCGGGAGGATCGCTTGAGGTCAGGAGTTCAAGAGCCACCTAAGCAAGAGCGAGACCCTATCTCCTACTATAAATAGAAGAAATTAGCCCAAACATAAAAAAATAGAAAAAATTAGTCGGGTAGCGGTGGGGTGCATGCCTGTAGTCCCAGCTACTTGGGAGGCCCTGAGGGCAGGAGGTCGGCTTGAGCCCCAGGAATTTGAGGTTGCTGTGAGCCTAGGCTGACACCACGGCACTCTAGCCCAGGCAAGAAAGTGAGACTCCTGTCTCAAAAAGAAGAAAAAAAAAAAGCCATAATACGTGCTAGAGAGTTCACATAAAAGGCAAAGTCACAAAGCCGCTGACATAGACAGGGAATAATTCCTAAATGAGCCAGTGGCTAGATCTGGAAGAAAATGAAAGAGGAAGGAGGTGAGGAATAAAATTAACTGAGTGAAGTATATTGGCAAGAGAATCATATGAGCCTTGGAAAGTTTCAAATATATTTTAGTTCCTGTCCTAAAGGAGTATCTAAAAACAGGCTTTTCCAAGTTTCTTAAAAAACAAACCAAATTTTTAAAAATTCCACCCTTGTCAAAAGGAATTTTATACAAAACTTCTCCACAATCCTTCCTCTTAATAAGTCATGTGTTTCTAAGAAAGTACACTTAGACATTCAATATTCACTCAACACAGAGTGTGCGCAAGATGATAGCTGGTTTGGTCTAAAGTAGACTGTTCTCCAAAAGGCAGTCCAGGATCCCGTTTCAGGGAGATCTGGTGAGATCAAACTATTTTAAATTGCTTTTTTCACTCTCATTCTCTTAAGAGGGTACAGTGTAATTTTCCCAGAGGCTCCATGATGTCAGCAACAGATTCAATGTAAAAGAAAATTAGAGGCGATTGCGCGGTGGTTCACGCCTGTAATCCTAGGCTCTCTGGGAGGCTGAGGCAGGCGGATTGGCTTGAGGTCAGGAGTTTCGAAACCAGCCTGAGCAAGAGCAGGACCCTGTCTCTACTAATAAATAGAAAGAAATTAATCTGGCCAACTAATATATATAGAAAAAATTAGCCGGGCATGGTGGCGCATGCCTGTCATCCCAGCCACTTGGGAGGCTGAGGCAGAAAGGATTGCCTGAGCCCAGGGTTTGAGGTTGCTGTGAGCTACGCTAATGCCATGGCACTCCACTCTAGCCTAGGGCAACAAAGCAAGACTCTGTCTCAAAAAAAAAAAAAAAAAATTAGAAACCAGCTGTCTATTAAGCTAAACCTTAAATAAGAATTCAACAAAATATAAAACCGAACGTGAACCTGTCTGCACCAAACAATTTGTTTCAGAAAATAGGCCATTTTTCATAAACAAACATATTTATGTAACATGTAACGGGTTTATATATTGTTACTTCTAAATAAATTTTTCAAAAGGGCCAGAAGCAGTGGCTCACACCTGTAATCCCAGCATTTTGGGAGACTGAGGCAGAAGGACTGCTTAAGGCCAGGAGTCTGAGAGCAGCCTGGGCAATGTGACGAGACCATGTCTCTACAAAAACAGTATTTTTTGTAAAATACTGTTTTTGTAAAGTAATATTTAAGATTTTCTCAGTATTAATTTCTAACAGAGTATCCCTAAATATATGCTATATAATAAAAGCTCTTTGGGGTACTAAATAATTTTTTATGCTTTCTTTTATTTTTTAATGAACACATAATAACTATACATACCAATGGGAACCAGTAATTTTTTTAAATGAGACAGAGTCTCGCTCTGTCACCCCAGCTAGAATGCACTGGCATCATCATAGCTCACTGCAACCTCAAACTCCTGGGCTCAAGTGATCCTCCTGCCTCAGTCTGCTGAGTAGATGGAACTGTAGGCACCCACTACCATGCATATTCACACTCAGCTAATTTAAAACAACTTTTTGTAGAGATGAGGTCTCATTTTTTTTAATGGCTTTTTAATGAGTTAAGAAAAACAAGAATTTTTTTTAATGTGGCTACTCGAAAACTTAAAATTACTCATGTAGCTCACATTATATTTCTATCAGACACTTCTATTGGATATTTCAGTGGAGCACTGATCGAGGCAATGATTATCAATAGCTGGTTAATGGCCGGGGCGCAGTGGCTCATGCCTGTAATCCTAGCTCTCTGGGAGGCCGAGGTGGGCGGATTGCTCAAGGTCAGGAGTTCGAAACCAGCCTGAGCAAGAGCGAGACCCCGTCTCTACTATAAATAGAAAGAAATTAATTGGCCAACTGATATATATTTAAAAAAAAAAATTAGCCGGGCATGGTGGCGCCTGCCTGTAGTCCTAGCTACTTGGGAGGCTGCGGCAGAAGGATTGCTTGAGCCCAGGAGTTTGAGGTTGCTGTGAGCTAGGCTGATGCCACGGCACTCTAGCCCAGGCAACAGAGTGAGCCATTCATTGTCTCAAATAAAAAGACAACTAGACCCAATGAAAATCCCAGCAGCTTTTTTCTGGTTACCAACAAACTGGTTCCAAAGTTCATATGGAAAACAAAAGACTTAGAGTAGCCAACACAATACTGAAAGTGAAGAACAAGGTTGGAAGGACTAACACTACCCTACTTGCAGACTTACTATAAAGCTACAGCAATCAAGACAATGTAGTACTTGTGAAAAGACAGACAAATCAATGAAACAGAATAGAGTCCAGAAATAGACCCACCTTAATGTAGTCAACTGATTTTTAACACAGGAGCAAAGACAGTCTGTTCAACAAATGGTGCTGAAACAACTGGACATTCAAAAAAAAAAACCCACAACAACTGGACATCCACATGCAAAAAAAGAATCTACGCACAGACCTTATACTCTTCACCAAAATGAACTCAAAATGGAACCCAGATCCAAATGTAAAATGCAAAAACATAAAACTCCTAGAACACACAGGAAATACATAGGACAAAAATGTATTAATAGATGATCTTGGGTGTGATGATGACTTTTTAGATAAACCAAAGCCATAATTCATCAAAGAAATAATTGATCACTCTAGCCTGGGCAACAAAGTAAGACTTTGTCTCAAAAAAAAAATAAAAATAGGCCGGGCGCGGTGGCTCACGCCTGTAATCCTAGCTCTCTGGGAGGC